ATGTAGAGCATGGTACTAGTTTCACAGTTCTGTGCATTGGTCAAGATTTATTAATCTGTCCAACAAAAAGAGTGAATTTTATTGCATGCAAGCTAAAAATAAATAAATTTGTTGGAAAGTTAAATACAAATAAATGTCTGAATCAAGTTTGAGGTGCTGGAACGAAAACATCTTTCTGTAGGAGTCATTTTTCCTATTTTAGTCTCAATCACTCATATGTAGTCAAGCTTTTGCATCCAACTTCCTTTTTTCCCTTGAACTACTATCTCTCAAATAATTCAACAATGATATAAAAAATACACTAACCTAAAAATTTCACAAGATCAAGGGGTAAGTCCCAGAAGAACCTGTCTCTTCTGGGAAGAGAAGCTCAGCCAACAACACTGCACTATTCCTTTAAAAACCACAATGCTTAACCAAACTTTGACCTTAAGTTGTTGCCTGGGTTTTTGTCCCTATTATTCCCTAATTAATTTTTTAAAAGATAGGCATTTCAATGGTTACATTGAGCTTAATCACCCCAAAAATATCTTTTTTCATTTTTAAGATTTTGCAACTTTGAGCCTACATGCATCACCGGAGAAAAACACTGGCTCTATCTTTAAAAAGAGAAAGAGAAAGAAAAGAAGAGAAGGTTGACAAAAAAATGGATACAGTAAGGTATAGGGGCAGAAAGTGGTATATTTCTTGGAAAATCGATGGATACATGGAGTGTTAGTGGTTGACCTCAGCATGGAGAGGGCAGACCCTTCCTTCTTCATGACCCATCTTCAACTCATATTATTCTCCGAGAGTACAACGCCCCATTTCCTTCACAGAGCAGGGTCACAACACAATAAAAACAGAGGAAGAAAAGAAAAACAAGGGGATACAGGGCCATTTTTCCAGGATCTCAGAAATAGAGCTGAGCATTTCTATAACACTTTAGTAGAGACAGAAGGATGCCTAATGTTTTTTCATGAGTTTCAGTTTCTATTTCCCTAAAATATTTCCATATTACTCATGCCACAAGCCAAAGAAACAAAGGCACTGTCTGTCTGTTTTCCAATACCACATGATAAAGAATCTAAAGTTCATCAGATCCTTAGAGAATTCCAAGGTGTTATAAAGGTGATCCAAACTAGAGCCATCTTAAGAGAAATGGGAATGACGTTTACACTCTTATCATTTCACTGATTCTTGACTCAAAAATCCAAAGATGGCTCCCTACTGTAAATGGTTACTGTGAAATCTCCAAACAGAACTCACTGCCACTATTTCTATAAATAAGATGTTATTTCTACTTCCTCCCTAACCTAAAGTCCCTGTTCTTTCCCTCTCAGAAGAAAACTAAGTAACAAAATACTCATATCCTCTCAAGACTCCTGTGCTAATTATTACCTACCAGAAATACTTTATTCAACACCTATTCAATTTTATAAACAGTGTAGGTCATAAAATTGAAATTTTTAAATTCTTTCTTTTAACAATTAGTAAAATCTCTTCTATGTGTGTACCATGAGAACAAAGAAACCCAAAATAATACACAAGCTATAGCAATATTATTCTTCTAAGCAGAGATAAATTGGGTATTACTTTACCTTTTTCATTGTATATTGACAAATTATGCATTTATGATGTACAAAGTATTTTCTTTTCTTTTTTTACTGTACTTTAGGTTCTGGGGTACATGTGCAGATTATGCAGGATTGTTGCATAGGTATACACATGGCAATATGGTTTGCTGCCTCCATCCCCCCATCACCTACATCTGGCATTTCTCCCCATGTTATCCCTCCACAACCTTCCCACCCCCATGCTGCCCCTCCCTTGCCCCCCCAACAGACTCCAGTGTGTGATGCTCCCCTCCCTTTGTCCCTGTGTTCTCATTGTTCAACACCTGCCTATGAGTGAGAACATGCAGTGTTTCTCTGTTCTTGTGTCAGTTTGCTGAGAATAATGGTTTCCAGATTCATCCATGTCCCTACAAAGGGACATGCATAGTATCCCATGTAGTATATGTGCCACATTTTCCTTGTCCAGTCTAACATCGATGGGCATTTGAGTTGGTTCCAGGTCTTTGCTATTGTAAACAGTGCTGCAATAAACACACGTGTGCATGTGACTTTATAACAGAATGATTTATAATCCTTTGGGCATATACCCAGTAATGTGATTGCTGGGTCAAATGGAATTTCTATTTCTAGGTCTTTGAGGAAGCACCACACTGTCTTCCACAATAGTTGAACTAGTTTACACTCCCACCAACAGTGTAAAAGTGTTCCTATTTCTCCACATTCTCTCCAGCATCTGTTGTCTCCAGATTTTTTAATGATCGCCATTCTAACTGGCGTGAGATGGCATCTCAATGTAGTTTTGATTTGCATTTCTCTAATAATCCGTGATGAGCATTTTTTCATATGTTTGTTGACCTCATAGATGTCTTCTTTTGTAAAGTGTCTGTTCATATCCTTTACCCACTTTTGGATGAGCTTGTTTGTTTTTCTCTTATAAATCTGTTTTAGTTCTTTGTAAATTCTGGATATTAGCCCTTTGTCAGATGGGTAGATTGCAAAAAATGTTTTTCCCATTCTGTGAGTTGCCAATTCACTCTAATGATTGTTTCTTTTGTCGTGCAGAAGCTGTGGAGTTCGATTAGGTCCCATTTGTCTATTTTGGCTTTTGTTGCCAATGCTTTTTGTGTTTTAGTCATGAAGTCCTTGCCTATGCCTATGTCCTGAATGATTTTGCCTAGGTTTTCTTCTAGGGTTTTTATGATGTTAGGTCTTATGTTAGTATTATTTTTGAATACACTTTGTAATCATTAAATTAAGCTAATAAACATATATATCACCTCAAATGTTTAAAAATTTTGTGATTAAAACATACATTCTCTTAGTGGTATTAAAATTTACAGTACTCAATTATTAGCTATATTCAACATGCTGTGCTATATTTTAACTTTCTGATAAAAAAATGACAGAGACAAAAAATTTTCCTCTACCCTCTTAGGTTTAGTACCTGGGGGCCTGCAAATTAGACTACCAAAAGAAATATTTACAGGAAAAAGAGTCACACAATTTTTATTGATCTCTTCTGTGAACACAAATTCAGAGAAAAGTAAGTGAAACGCAAATAAGTAGCTAGTCTCAGGGACTTATACCATTTTAACAAAGGGGGTTTGGGCTTCAATAGATGATAAATTGTGGGGAAGTGACTAGGGCAAAAGGAAAATGGGGAGAAACTAATATAAGAATTATTTGAATAAAGTTTGTTTATGCAGACTCATCTCATTGCCAACTCTTCATCTCTGATGATAAGAGTTACTCTCTGGTCCAGGAAAAGAAGAAACGCCTTCACAAAGGAAAATTTATGTCCTGCTTTTAGGAAGAACGGCAGAGGGCAGAGAATTCTTCCTTCATGTATTGACTTTCAATTTCCTTCAGCTCAACATAACCCTTATGCCAGAGTGGCATGTCTCAGGGTGACATATGCTGATTACCTCAAAAATCTTTCTAAAAAATATGATACTCATGTGAAACAAAATTTAATTTTTTCCTAAAAACAAATGCAACCCTAAGAATGCCCATTAATACATTGTACAATAATATAGATTAACTGTGATTGCTCACTTCTTTATTTTCCTAGAAACCATGTTGGAAAACAGAAAGAATATAGGCTTTGGAGTCTTACAGACTTGAGTAGAATTCTAATTCTAGAACTGCAAGTAGTTATGTGACCTTAACCATATTTCTTAATTCCTCTGAAGTTAGTGCCTTGATCTGGAAATTAGAGCAATATGCTTTCCTTTTAGGAAATGCTAAGGAAGACTACATAGGTAATGTGGATGTCATAAAAAATAATGACCAGAGAATATAATACATTGATTAAGTTGGTGGGCCTTTTAAAAAAATTAAATAGGGTATCAGTAAAATCAGAATGTATTACTGTAAGGTTTCAGATGTAAGGTTTAGAGGTGGTTACAGGTGTTTATCTTTATGCCAAATGGCCTCAGATTTTCTTCTCAGTGAGCTTTGGTGATTTTTTCAATGATTTTCTATTTCTGCTTTATAAGCCGTTTTTGTTTTGCTTGTTGCTTTGTAGGTGCGTGTGCTACATTATATTAATCTCAGGTCTTTATTGGAGGATATACATAAATGTCCTTACCATGGCTTCATGGCAGAGAAAACATTTTCCCACCTCCTGATTTTTCAGTGTGACCACATGCTTTGCTTTGGTCAAAGGATTTAAGAGATGTTTTATAAGCAGAGGTCTGAAGTTGAGCAGTTCCACTTGCTTACTTGCACACCAGCCTTTTCATGAAAAGGAAAAGACTCAGCAACTAGTTCAAAGGAAATAACACAAGGAGCAAATCTTTACCCAACCTGCAGCTTGTAGACAAGCCCAGCATAAATCAGCTAAACCCCAACCAACATGCAGATATATTAGCAAAAAATAAATGCTTATTTTGAGAAGCCATTGAATTTGGAGTTCCCACACAACTTTATTGAGCAGGAAATAATAAATGTAGTGTCCTCAAATCTTAAGGTTTTATCTCATTGGATGACTATAAACTTTCCTAGACAATACATTTTCATTAGCAACAACATGGCAGGCTCTACCAGGCTTCCCACACTACGTGTATACCAAATCACCTTCTTTTTGCCCTTTGGCTTTTTATCTTTATTTTTGTATTTCTCCATAAGTTATTGGGGTATTGGGGTACGAGTGGTATTTTGTTACATGAATAAGTCCTTTAGTGGTGATGTGTGAGATTTTGGTGCACTCATCACCTGCGCAGTATACACTGAACCATATTCGTAGTCTTTTATCCCTCGGCCCCCTCCCACTCTTCCCCCCAAGTACCCAAAGTCCTGTTATATCATTCTTATTACTTTGCATCCCCATAGCTTCATTTCAAATTCATTTATTTCTGCTCTGATCCTTATTCTTTCTTTCCTTACCCTAATTTTGGGTTTGGTTTGCCATTGCTTTCCTAGTTCTTAAAGGTGCATCGAGACTGAGCTTCAGGACACGCAGGCCCGCCGCCGCCAGGGCCCAAGCCCCAGGGACCCCAGCAATCTCCAAGTGGACTCTGGCCTGACACCCAAAGCATCCCAGTCAGGTGTTGTGGGGGCTTCCCCTTGGGTTCTTTCATCACATCTGACTTCCAGGCGAAAGCCATGGATGCTCCCCACCCCACCGCAGCCCTGGCCAGCATTAACGAGCTGCCAGAGAACATCCCGCTGGAGCTGTTATTGCACGTGCCCGCCCGCCAGCTGCTGCTGAACTGCCGCCCCGTCTGCAGCCTCTGGCGGGACCTCATTGACCTCATGATCCTCTGGAAGAGCAAGTGTCTGCGAGACGGCTTCATCCCCAAGGACTGGGACCAGCCTGTGGAGGACTGGAAGATCTGCTACTTCCTAAGGAGCCTGCAGAGCAACCTCCTGCACGACCCATGTGCCGAAGAAGGTATGTTAGCATGGCAAATCATTACCAAAGGTGGCGACAACTGGAAGGTGGAGAGCCTCCCTGGAGCCCATGGGACAGATTTTCCTGACCACAAAGTCAAGAAGTATTTTGTCACGTCTTACGAGATGTGCCTCAAGTCCCAGCTGGTGGACCTTGTAGCCAAGGGCTACTGGAAGGAGCTACTGGACACGTTCAGGCCAGACATCACAGTTAAGGACTAGTTTGCCGCCAGAGCCGACTGTGGCTGCACCTACCAACTCAACGTGTACCTGGCCTCGGCTGACTACTTCGTGTTGGATTCCTTCGAGCCCCCACCTGTGACCATTGAACAGTGGAACGATGCCGCATGGACAGAGTTCTCCCACACCTTCTCGGACTACCCTCCAGGTGTCTGCTACATCCCCTTCGGGCACGGGGGCCAGGACACCCAGTACTGGGCAGGCTGGTACGGGCCCCGAGTCACTAACAGCAGCATCGCTGTCAGCCACAAGATGACCAGGAACCCGGCCTCCTCCGAGGCTCAGCCTGGGCAGACCCAATCGCCCTACAAAGTTGTTCTCCCAATCTGACAGCCGTCCATCCTGTGTCCAGGTCAGCCAGAGGTTGGGGTGGGCAGTGAAGTCCGTGTATCAGGGGCTTCTGCCCCCGGTTCAACCCTACCAGCTTGTGAAAACTTAATGTACTGTCACATCGCTCTGAAAAAAAAAAAAATGGGGCCACGGTGGCTCCAGCCAGTTGTCCTGGCGCTTGAAGAGGCGAGGCTATAAGTTCAAGGCCAACCTGAGCAACATAACAAGCGCTCATTGATTAACAAAACAAAGAAAAAGAAAAAAAAGGAGGTGGGGCTGGGCGCGGTGGCTCACGCCTGTAATCCCAGCATTTTGGGAGGCCAAGGCGGGTGGATCACAAGGTCAAGAGATCGAGACCATCCTGGTCAACATGGTGAAACCCCATCTCTACTAAAAACACAAAAAATTAGCTGGGCATGGTGGCGCGTACCTGTAATCTCGGCTACTCAGGAGGCTGAGGCAGGAGAATTGCCTGAACCCAGGAGGCGGAGGTTGCGGTGAGCCGAGATCGCGCCATTGCACTCCAGCCTGGGTAACAAGAGCGAAACCCCGTCTTAAAAAAAAAAAAAAAAAAAAAAAAAAGGTGCATCATTCAGTTTTTTTATTTGAAGTTTTTTTCTTTTATTTATGTATTTTTCTCTAAGTTGTTGAGGTACAGGTGGTATTCGATTGCATGAGTAAGTTCTTTAGTGGTGATCTGTGGAATTTTGGTGTACCCATCACCTGAGCAGTGCACCATATCTGTAGTCTTTTATCCCCTGTCTTCTTCCCACCTTTCCCCCAAGTCCCCAACGTCCATTGTATCATTCTTATGCCTTTGCATTCTCATAGCTTGACTCCCACATAGTGAGAACATACAATGTTGTATCTTTCCAGGAATGTATCCACCTCTTCTAGGTTTTCTAGTTTATGTGTGTAAAGGTGTTCATAGTAGCCCTGAATGATCTTTTATATTTTAGTGGTGTCAGTTGTAATATCTCCTGTTTCGTTTCTCAGTGAGGTTATTTAGATTTCCTCTCTTCTTTTCTCGATTTTGCTAACACTCAGTCAAGCTTATTTATCTTTTCAAAGAACCAGCTTTTTGTTTCGCTTATCTTTTGTGTTTTTGTTGTTGTTGTTTCAACTTCATTTAGTTCTGTGCTGATTTGGTCACTTCCTTTCTTCTGCTAGGTTTGAATTTGGTTTGTTTTTATTGGTTAGTTCTTTTACATGTGATCTTAGATTGTCTCTCCGTACTCTTTCAGACTTTTTGATGTAGGCATTTAGGGCTATAGACTTGCCTGTTAGTGCTGCCTTTGCTGTATCCCAGGGGTTTTGATATGTTGTGTCATTACTGTCATTCTGTTTGATACATTGTGTCATTACTGTCATTCTGTTCAAAGAATTTCTTAATATCCATCTTGACTTTGTTTTTGACCCAATGCTCATTTAGGAGCAAGTTAATTTCCATGTATTTGCATGATTTTGAAGGCTCCTTTTGGAGTTGATTTTCAGTTTTACTCTACTGCGGTCTGAGAGAGTGCTTGATATAATTTCAATTTACTAAAATTTATTGAGGCTTGTTTTATGGCTATCATATGATCTATCTTGGAGAAAGTTGCACACCCTGTTGAATAGAATGTGTACTCCATGGTTGTTCAATGAAATCTTCTATATATATCTGTTAAGTCCATTTGTTCCAAGGTATAGTTTAAATCCATTGTTTCTTTTTTGACTTTGTGTCTTATGACCTGCCTAGTGCTGTCAGTGGAGTATTGAAGTCCCCTGCTATTATTGTGTTGGTATCTCGTTTCTTAGGTCTATTAGTAATTGTTTAATAAATTTGGAAGCTTGAGTGTTAGGTGCATATATGTTTAGGATTGTGACATTTTCCTGTTGGACAAAGCCTTTTACCATTATATACTGTCCCTCTTTGCCTCTTTTAATGGCTATTCTTTAATTTTTTTTTCTAATATAATAATAGCTACTCCTGCTCGCTTTTGGTGTCCATTTGCATGAAACGCCTTTTTCCACCCTTTTCCTATAAGTTTATGTGAGTCCTTATGTGTTAGGTGAGTCTCTTGAAGGCACCATATAGTTGGTTGGTGAGTTCTTATCCATTCTATGGTTCTGTATCTTTTAAGTGGAGCATTTAAGCTATTTACATTCAATGTTCTACTGAAATATGAGATACTGTTGCTTTCATTGTGCTCTTTTTTCCCCTGTGTACTTTTTGTTTTTGCTTTTTAACTTATATTTTTTGTGTTATAGGTCCTCTGCAATTTATGCTTAAAGAGGTTCTGGTGTATTGTTTCCAGGATTTGCCTTAAGATTTAGAGTTCATTTTAGCAATTCTTTCAGTAGTGGTTTGGTAATGGTGAATTATCTCAGCATTTGTTTGTCTGAAAATGACTGTATCTTTCCTTCATATATGATACTTAGTTTCTCAGGAAACAAAGTTCTTAGCTGATAATTGTTTAGTTTGAGGAGACTTCAGATAGGTCCCCAATTTCTTCTAGCTTGTAGGGTTTCTGCTAAGAAATCTGCTGTTAATCTGATAGGTTTTCCTTTATAAGTTACCTGGTGCATCTGTCTCACAGCTCTTAAGATTATTTCCTTCATCTTGACTTTGGATAACCTGATGACAATGTGCCTGGGTGAAGATCTTTTTGCAATGAATTTCCCAGGTGTTTTCTGTGCTTCTTGTGTTTGGATATCTATATCTCCTACAAGGCCAGGAAGTTTTCCTCGATTATTCCCCCAAATACGTTTTCCAGGCTTTTAGAATTCTCTTCTTCCTCAGGTATACTGATTATCCTTAGGTTTGGTCATTTAACATAATCCCTGACTTCTTGGAGGTTTTGTCCATAGTTTCTTATGCTTTTTTCTTTGTCTTTTTTGGATTGGGTTAATTCGAAGTCCTTGTTTTCGAGCTCTGAATTTCTTTCTTCTACTTGTTAATTTCTGTTGCTGAGACTTTCCAGAGCAGTTTGCATTTCTAAAAGTATGCACAAAGTTTCCTACATTTTTTATTACTTTTTCTTTAAGCTATCTATTTCCATGAATATTTCTCCCTTCACTTCTTGTATCATTTTTTGGATTTCCTTGCACTGGGCTTCACCTTTTTCTGGTCCCTCCCTGACTAGCTTAATAACTAACCTCCAGAATTCTTTTTCAGGCAAATCGGGAATTTCTTCTTTGTTTGGATCCATTGTTGGTGAACTACTGTGATTTTTCAGGGATGTTGAAGAGACTTGTTTTGTCATATTATCAGTGTTGGTTTTCTGGCTCCTTCTCATTGGAGTAGTCTCTGTCAAAGGGAAGGTCTAGGGCTGCAGTCCATTGTTCAGATTATTTTGTCCCATGGGGTGTTCCCTTGATGTAGTACTCTCCCCATTTTCCTATGGATGTGAGCTGAAACACAGTGATTGCTGTCTTTCTTCTTGGTCTAGCTACCCAGTAAGTCTGCCCAGTTCCAGGCTGGTACTGGAGGTTCCTGCATAGAATCCAGTGATGTAAACTGTTTATGGATCTCTCACTGTAGGTACCAGCACCTGTTCTGGTGGAGGTGGTGGAGGATGCAGTGGACTCCATGGGGTTCCTTACCTTTGGTGGTTTAATGCTGTATTTTTGTGCTAGTTGGCTGCCTGCCAAGAGGTGGCACTTTCTCGAAAGCATCAGCTTTAGCAGTGTGGAGAGGGATCAGCAGTGGGCAGGGCCCTAGAACTCCCAAGATTATATGTCCTTTATCTTCTACTACCAGTGTGGATAGGAAAGGACCACCAGGTGGGAGTGGGACTAGGCATGTTGGAGCTCACACTTTGCTTGGGCAGGTCTTGCTGAGTTTGCTGTGGGTGGTGCGGGTGGATTCAGAGGTCATTGGAGTTGTGTACCTAGGAGGATTATGGCTGCCTCTGCTGAGTCACACAGGTTGTCAGGGATGTAGGGAAAAGCCAGCAGTCACAGGCCTCACCCAGCTCCCACGCAATCTGAAGGGAAGGGCCGGTCTCACTCCCACCCTGCCTACCCCCAGTAGTCCCAGTCTGTTTTGGGCAGAGGGTAATGGACTTGAAAACTTGCCTGAGGCTATCTGCTTCCCTGCTGAGAGATAAAAGGGCTTTAGTGCTTCCCCTGCCTGTGAAGTCTGCATCCCCAATTCCAATCCAGCCCTGAGTTCTGACCAGGAGGCTTCTCACCCCATTCAAATTGTTACAAGGTTCAACTAGAGAATTCTTTCTCCCTGTGAAGTTTAACCCCTGCTCCTCTGGCTACCCTCCAATGGATCCCTGTGGTGCCAGCCGGAATGGGCTGCTTGGGGACAGTGAGCTCCCAGGGCCTTTCTGCTGCTTTCTCCATGCCTGTATTTCAGTCAGCTCTCTGACTTGACTCAGCTCCAGGTAAAGTCAGAAACTTCTTCTGCAAACAGACCTTCAGCTTCTCCAGCAGGGGTGTGTGTTCAGGAGAGGAGGGTCTCCCTTTCTCACTTCTGCAGCTGGGGCACTCATAGTATTTGGGGTGTCTCTTGGGTCCTGCAGGGGCAGTCTGCTTCCTTTGGAGGGTCTGTGGGTCCTCTCAGGATTGCTGGTTTGTTCTTGCATTCAATCTGGAGCTAAAATTCACAATGCAAGCCTCCACAGGCTGCTCTGTCCAGAATTGCAATCTGGTCCCGCCTCCCATCCGCCATTATCCCCGCCCTGCCCCCACCTTCTTTTTTGATGTTACTAATTGCTGGGAGATTTTTAAACAGACAAACATGTTCGAATTGTGTGAAAAATAAGGATTAAACAGGTCAGATTTTTTAAAAAGAGTCTAAAATAGTGCTGTCAAGTGGAAACATATGTGAGCCAAATATGGAATTTTTAAATTTCTATTAGCCAATTTTTAAAAGTATTTTAAAAAGCTGAAATTAATTTTAATGCTGTATTTTAACCTAATATATCTAAAATATAATTATATTCAATATGTAATTAATAAAGCTTTTAATGAGATATTTTACACTCATTTTTCATTAATGCATTCAAACCAGTGTGCATTTTACATTTTAGCACATCTCTATCCAAACCAGGCACATTTCAAGTGCTCAGTGGCCACATATGGCTAGTGTGGCTATCATATTGTACACCACATGTCTAAAACATTTTCGTAAGAAGCAAAATGAAGAGACTTTTGTGCAGAGATTTTTTATCTACTAAAACCACTCAAAGACCTATTTTTTTGGCTTACTTCTGCATAATTGGATGGACTCCCTATGAACAGAGGTTGTCCTGTATTTGGCAGCATTTTGTGTTCTAACCTCAAACTAGAATTCATTTATCATTTTACCCACAGTTTAATTTTCATTAATTTCTTAGTTTTTTCAAAAAACACAATTACCATATTATAGATGTCCCTATGAGCCTTTTTCAAAACTATTGGAAACAAATTGGATACAAATGATTAACAGTTATTTCCTTTGCTTTGTTAAAATCTATAAATAATTCTTAACAACTAGCTTCTCTGTAGAACATACTTTTATAGCAGAAAATATCTGTGCATGATAAGGTTGTGGGAAGAATATTTACAGTATAAAAGAGCCACT